GTCCAGTTGAATATTCTAATGGAATTCTATTACTACTATGAGTACACAAAAGGAATTATCCACATTTTCTGCTAAATTTTGCCTTAACTTCTTTTGAATGTATCCACATGGTCAATCTTGTAATTGTTACATTAATAGTGTTATGTAGTTGACAAGATATTATGGAAATTTTTAATAGAAAGCAACCGTAGTCTTTTTGGTCCAGTGTTAAGGCTTAAGTCAGATCTTTTGAATGTATGATAAATTCATTATCAATCACTATTCATTGACTCATAGATTAAGATAGGACTGTATTTCATTTCCAACTTGCCCATAACCTTATTTAAAATAAAAAATAAATAAATAAATTTGCCCATATCTTAGTCCCATTTTCTCCCTTGGAAGGGGTGTGGTATTGAGTTGGTATTGCAACAATTCAAGTAAGGCAAATTGTGAGTTTATATATATCTAAGTTTTGGGAGTTTTCAAAATTAGTTTTACTTATTTTTTAAGAAAATTTATATCGCCTTACTTATGAATCTTATATTGGAAACTGAGAGAAAATTGAAAGGTTTAATAAAATGTCTATCCATACGGAGCTATGGCTTTAAAGTATGAGCATGGCACTATAATAGGGCAGTGTATAGTGGAAATCACTTCCAATCTTAAAGATGTGATAAGTGGCTCGATCAAATGGTGAAGTGATGGTTGATTTGTAAAAGGTGTGATTTCAAAATTTTGAATAATAAAACCATGAAAGGTTCTTCTTTCTTATGTAATACCCAATGCAGAGCAAAATGAAATATCTGTCCTATTATATGCTTTTTATTTTACATTGTTGTATTAAACATTTTTACGTGACAATTCCTTCAAATAAAAGTTGTTGTACTAATAAGAGCAATTCTATAGACCACTAATTTGTCATCACTAATCCCACCACTAATGAGGTGACAATTGAAAAAAAAAAAAAACAAGGCACAAACATTGTGCCTTATTTATTTTTATTTTTTTTTCATTTCAATTGCCACCTCACTAGTGGTGGGATTAGTGATAGCAAATTAGTGGTCTATACATTGCTCACGAACACATTGTGGTAGTGGGTGAGATCCACTGCCACATCATTAGAGCCACCGCTAATTAGTTGTCTAAAACATTTCTCATTTTGTTAGACAAACTTCAACATCACACTTGAACCATCATGTGACCATTTTTAGTGAGAGGAAGAGACTCAAATTCACATGTTCATAATAATGCAAGGATTGAACATAGAGTACATATACCCACTTTCTTGCAATGTCTATTTGGAAGAAGCCATTGAAGGGTGAAAAGAAAGTGCACAAATGGTCCCCAAAATTTCCCGATATGGAGAACCAGAGGCAGCTCCAAATGCAAATCGCAAGCTTCTGTGAAGTGTCTTTAAAAAAAAGAAAGAAACATTTAAGGGACTGTTTGTTGTACATGGATTTTAATTTCTCACTGGAGCACTGCAAATATCATTAATGGTGCTTGAATGAATAATAATGCATAGTCTCTGTGCCTATGTCTTGCAGAACTTTGTTTGGGATGCTTTCCATTTAGCAAGACGCAATGCCATGGAAATTTATTGGTCATGCTTTATTCTCATTAATCATGGACATCTTCATTATCATTTTTTAAAATTATTGTTTCTAAAAAGTTTGTTATTAACTTATTACAGAGCTCTTGACCAGGCTTTCCTTGTAGTTGTTAAAGCTGCTGTTGTTACATGCCTTCGTTGATTTAGTTGGTTTCCCTTAGTGCCAAGACGACCAAAATTACCTACAACTTTGGCTAGTGATTTTGGTATTCATCGGGAGCAACTTGTTTCAATTACAAGGGATCGTGATTTTTCTGTTCTGGAGCAATTTGGAGGGGCAAGTCTATTAGCAGCTCATTGTTTTCTTTTTCTTTTTTATTTTATTTTTTATTGTTAGTTCTTAGATCATTTCCTATGCTTCTTTTTCATATCTGAATGTTTGTGCTACCCCATCAGGTTAAAGGAATTGCTGATATTTTAAAAGCAGATGAACAGAAGGGATTACTTGGAGATGATGATGATTTATTAAAACGAAGGAATGCATTTGGATCCAACATATATCCTCAAAAAAAAGGACGGAGTTTTTGGGTATACATTGCCAAGATTACAACTTTTATGGTCATTGTTATATTCTTGTTGATTTTTCACTGTGTGTGAAAATGGAAAAGGTGCTGCTATACTATTTCTGTGCCTATGTCTTGCAGAACTTTGTTTGGGATGCTTTCCATGATATAACCCTGCTCATCTTGATCATAGCGGCAGCTGCTTCTTTGTGCCTGGGTGTAAAGTCAGAGGAGAGCATAGAGTGGAGCTTATCATTATATAAATCGTTTCAAGACTGCAATTGTAGTAGAATCTTGTACCCGCTCTAGAATTCTGTGCTTCATCATACTATTTAAATTATTGATATGTGAATCCCCCATATTTCCTTGCCTTTCTCTTTTCTCCTTTAATTCACTGTGAAATTGTAAAGAAAAATGACGGCGGTGTATGTTGAACGGTATATATGCTTAGTTGTCTAAACTGGGTTTTAAGCCTTGAGACTGACATGCAGTTGCTTGAAATTTATAGTGATTACCTAATGTATCTGCTGCATGTTTTAGATAGTCTAGTATATATAGATAATCTAAAATGAATAAATTAAACTTAATATGGGCATGATTTTTTTTTTAAAATTGCATAAATTAAGCCTTGAGACTGACAAATATGGGTTGTTTATCCATCCTTTTAGGGAAGTTTTAACTGAGTCCATTCTCAATCTTGTTTCATCGAATGCTCTCTGCAATTTGTCAACTCACTGCCCTCATTTCTAGTTCTAGTGAAGAATCCATATCTATGTCTATGTCTATATCTATATCTCTATCATTTGAGTTTCATACATACTTTCTGATTTATTTTTTTTAATATCTATCATTTGATTTTCTCTCTATCATTTGAGTTTCATACATACTTTCTGATTTATTTTTTTTTAATATCTATCATTTGTTTTCATACATAGACTTTTAACAATTTAATAATTAGATGTTTTTAATTTATTTAACTTATTCTTACCTCCTATGTTGTAAAAAAAATTATCACTTCGATAATTTCTTTAAAAAAAAATAACAAATAATCCTATAAATTGTACACAACAAATAATTTATTTGACAAATCTATAAGATGAAGATATGGTTCATTGAATATATCTGTACACTTTATTAAAAAGCATTCCCACCATTCCTTTCTTATGTATATATTGGATATTCTCTTTTCTCTCTCCCTATTGGATATCCATAGTGTTGGTCCTAGGTGATCTATTCTCTTTTCTCTATTCTCTTTTTTCTTTTCAAATAATTCATATCTATTCTCTTTTCTCTTTTCAGTTAATATAATTTGGTTCTTTGTGCTGTAGCAGCAGCTTCATGCTGCAGTAGCAACTTCCTGTTGGTTCTTAATATTTTTTTTTCTTCTTTTCTTGGCAGCAGCATTAGTGTTCAATATTATGCTTATTGAATACTAAAACAACCATAATGGAATCAATAACTATTATATTTGAATAATATAGGAAGGAATGTGAGATTTGATGCTTACCTAAAGCGTATAAATAACTTTTTCACCTTATAACAAAATTAACCTCCAAAATACGAATAAAATTCATTTTTAGTTAATTGGTTTTTGCTTCATTCACCTAACATAATCTTCACTTTGTAGGTCACCAAATATGGACAAGAGTTGGATGTCAATTAGGAATAGATTGAGTTCGGAGTATAGAGAAGGGGTTAAGTCATTTCTCCAATTTGCAATGACAAATGTTGGCGTAGATAATAGAATTCGTTGTCCGTGTATGGATTGCCTAAATTTTGAACATCATACCTTTAAGGATGTGGAATATCATTTGATCCGAAAAGGGATATCACTTTCATACAAGACTTGGGTGCACCATGGGGAAACTGTTTCTGTCAATCAACCTCGTGTGTGGAATAATGACAATGACATTGAAGGTGTTGGTGATGAAGGGACAACCAATGAATGCCTTCACGTGGAAGATGAATTGTATGATATGTTAGATGATTGTCACATGGTGCATATTTTTGATGATGATGAAGAGGGTGAGCAGAATAATAATGAGCAAAGAGAAGATGGACGAAACTTTGATAAATTGTTAGAGGATGCTCGTCGTCCATTATACCTTGGCTGTCAGAAGTTTACTTTGTTATCATTTGTCGTTAAGATGCTTCATATAAAAGTTTTAAACAAGTGGAGCAATAAGTCTTTTGACATGTTGTTAGGCGTATTGAAAGACCTTTTACCAGAAAGTGATCAAAAGGTTCCATGGACCCTTTATGAAGCGAAGAAATTTTTACGTGATTTGGGTTTAGGATATGTGCCTATTCATGCATGTAAGTATGATTGTGCTCTTTTTTGGAAGGAAAATGCAAATTTAGAAAATTGTTCGATTTGTAAAGAGCCTAGATACAAAATGAATGATGGCAAAGGTAAGAAGATACCTCATAAAATTTTGAGATATTTTTCGTTGACACCAAGGTTGCAAAGATTATACATGTCGAGAAAAACAGCTGGAGATATGCGATGGCATAAAGAAAAACGTGTTGATGATGGCATCTTAAGGCATCCAGCCGATGGTGAGGCGTGGAAGGATTTTGATAGGCAACATGCTGTGTTTGCCCAAGAACCACGTAATGTGAGGTTAGAGTTGGCCACCGATGGTTTCAACCCTTTTGGAAATTTGAGCAACTCATATAGTATGTGGCCTGTGGTAGTTATGCCTTATAACCTACCACCGTGGAAGTGTATGAAGCAACCATTTTCCATGATGTCATTGCTTATTCCTGGACCGCAAGCACCCGGGAGAGATATTGATGTTTACTTGAGGCCATTAATTGACGAGTTGAAGAAGTTATGGGAAGATGATGTAGTTACTTATGATGCCTCAACTGGGGCAAGTTTCTGAATGCATGCAACTGTTATGTGGACTATTAATGACTTCCCTGCATATGGTAACTTGTCAGGGTGGTGTACAAAAGGATATTTGGCTTGTCCCAATTGTAATGAGAATGCATCATCACAACGGTTAAGAAGTAAGATAGGATACACTGGTGCTCACCGATACTTACTTGAAGACCATCCTTGGCGAAGAAGTAAGCTCTTTAATGGTAAGGCAGATGATCGAGCAAGACCTTCGGAGTTGTCAGGGGAACAAATTTTAAATCAATTGGATTCAGGAACATTTAAACCATTTGGGAAGCATCCAAGCAACCAAAAAAGAAAAAAGGATGAAAATACCGTCCTGAATTGGACAAAGAAAAGCATATTTTTCGAATTGCCTTACTGGAAGACACTCAAGTTACGACATAACCTCGATGTCATGCACATAGAGAAGAACATATGTGATAATTTAATTGGGACTTTGTTGAGCATTGATGGGAAGAACAAGGATACAGAAAAAGCACGCATGGATTTAGAGGATATGAAAATTAGGAAGGATTTGCACTTAAAGAGGCGCGCGGATGGGTCCTTTGAAAAGCCCATTGCATTGTTCACATTGTCCCTAAAGGAAAGACAAGATTTTTGCGAGTTCTTAAAATCGATTAGGTATCCTGATGGGTATGCAGCAAACATCTCTATGTGTGTGAGCACAAAGGGCGGCAAGTTATCCGGTTTGAAAAGCCATGATTGCCATGTCCTTATACAACGACTTCTTCCTATTGGAATGCGTGGGTATCTTAACAAGGACATTTCTATTGCATTGTTTGAGTTGGGAAATTACTTTCAACAGTTATGTTCAAAAACAGTGAGGGTGAATGATTTGGAAAAATTACAAGAGAGCATAGTACTCATACTTTGCAAGCTAGAAAAAATTTTTCCACCTGCATTCTTTGATGTGATGGTTCACTTAGCTATTCACTTGCCTCGCGAAGCCATTCTTGGAGGGCCAGTGCAATATCGATGGATGTACCCTATCGAAAGGTATTTTTATGCTCTTTGATGTGAAATTATATTTTTTTTAATATTATAGTATACCCATATATATGGTTTATATAATAATTTCCTATTATTTGTTGAAGATTACTCGGGATTTTGAAAGGGTATGTAGCAAATCGAGCTCACCCAGAAGGTTCAATTGCAGAAGCTTACATTGTCAAAGAATGCCTAACTTTTTGCTCTATGTATCTTGGTGGGATTGAAACCGTATTTAACAGAGAGGAAAGAAATGAAGATGGTGGTGATGTTGGCTCAGGGCATTCAGTTTTTTCACAAAAAGTCCGTACTTTTGGGCTCACTCAAAGGGCAGTTGACGTGTCTGAGAATGAAAGAAAAGTGGCTCATTGGTTTATCTTGTATAATAGTCCTGAAATTGATGAATATCTAGAGTATGTTCTCATTTAGTTAAGTCTATGCAAAATGCTTTTCATTATGATCACACTCAAGTACTAATTATTCACATTTGATTTTTCAAGTAGAGAACACAAGAATCAGTTACAAAATGCAAATGTACATGACATTACAAGACAACAACAAGAAGAATTTCCTAGGTGGTTCAAAGAGCGGGTAATATATAAGATACATAGATAATATGTAACCTCTCATCATAAACATAATTCACTGTTCGTAGATTGATATTAACATCATGCATCCTTGTCACATGTTCATGTAGATAAATCAATTACGAGCTGAAGGATCATCGGAAGCAACTGATGAGTTGTGGTCATTAGCTAATGGTCCTAGTCCAATAGTGAATATTTATTCAGGTTGTATTTGTAATGGCATTCGATTCCACACGAAAGAGCGAGACAACCGTCGTAAAAGTCAAAATAGTGGGTTGGTTGTTCAAGGGGATCATCATGGTATGTCAATTGATTTCTATGGTCAGTTGACTAAAGTTTGGGAAATGACATACATGTTCGGGCATCGAGTTGTGTTGTTTCAATGCGAATGGTTTAACACTGGTAGCAACAGAACATTTCGCACTGAAACACATTTGACAACCATTGATGTAAGAAGCCGTTGGTATCAAAATGACCCATTTGTCTTGCCAAGCCAGGTGCAACAAGTTTTTTATGTCAATGATACCAAATTAGGTGAACATTGGAAAGTCGTAGAGCGATTTCAACGTCGAGGAATATGGAATGTGCCGGAGCTTGAGGATGTAGATCCCGATGCTAATGAATTGCCTATTCCGAATGATGTGTTCCAGCAGGACGAGACCACTGAAATTGTCCAAATCAGCATTGCAGATTCCATTAGCAACACTTTACGTAGGACTGATATTGCACCTGATATTATTCCAAGTCAAGTGGTTCTGCAATCTAGTACAAGTGTACATGTAGAGGGTCCAAACAGAGATGATTTTATCTGTGATGATAATGATCAACATTCAAATGATCCTAGTGATGATGAAGATGAATTTCATAGTCATAGTAACTCGGATACAGATGATGATATAGAGCCTTGATTGTAATATCCTTTATTTTTTGCATTATCAAGTCATTTTCATTGTAATGCTCTTGATTGTAGTGGCATGGCCTTGTTAATGAAGACATGTTTAGTTACAACAAGTCTGGAATGTTGTACCTATTGCTTCATTGTGGTCCATTTGGAAACATCGGAATCTGTCTGAATCTGTTTGAAGTTGTGTTTGTTCTACTGTCTCCTCTGTGTGCTGCTGCTGAAGTGCTCTATGTTTTTTTTTCTCTTCTGTTTGGTGATGCTGCTGAATCTGTTTGAATCTGTCTGAATCTGTGTATTAATCTGAATCTGCTGAATCTGTTTTGAATCTGCTGGTTTAATGCTAAAATGCGGCTGCTGCTTGAATCTGTTTTCTGCTGAATCTGTTTTGAATCTGCTGGTTTAATGCTGAAATGCGGCTGCTGCTTGAATCTGCTGCTTGAATCTGGTTTAATGCTGAATCTGTCTGAATCTGTGTATTAATCTGAATCTGCTGAATCTGTTTTGAATCTGCTGGTTTAATGCTGAAATGTGGCTGCTACTTGAATTTGTTTTTTATGCTTCCTGCTGGTTTCTCCTCTGTTTTCCTGTTGGTTCTCTTCTTGTTGGTTTCTCACCAACGGTTATATTACTAGCGGATGTTTGGGCTAGCTCATTGGCGCCAAGTTTGTTTGGTTTTAATAGCTATGCTCCTGATGTATTTGTGTTCATTATATATAATCTTATTTTGTTTGTTGATAAAAAAATTGAAGACATGTTTAGTGATGATTCAAATTGTAATGAATTTTTTTGTTGATAATTTCTTGACTTGTAATGTGGTTCTAATATTACAGTATTAGGTTATCTTATAATTTCATAAATTGTCATGCATTTTAAATTTTTACTTTTGGTTGCTTACAATTCATTTATTAGATACAAAGACTACACAGATGCCACCTGGGCAAGCCACTAAGAGGAGGTCGACGACCTCAATGTCAGAGGCAAACCTGGTTAAGCTCCCAGCTGCATCTCCTGTGGATGCATTTGCAAGTCTATCTCCTGTGGATGCATCTCCATCTTCGCAAACAGTTGATATTGGTAAGTATTACTACATGCTTACTCTTTTTTGAGTGATTATGATTAAAAAATTGTTAGTATTGAAGTATGACTCCGTGAGAGACAATCTGTGAGAGACAATGAAAAAAGAGATCTTTGAAGTCACAAACGACACCTAAAAGATAAAGTGAGAGACAATTAGTCAATAAAGAGTGCAAGGCATTTATTGTTTAGTAATCCAGACAGTGTATCTTCAACTGGTTGTCAGCTGGTGCTGTCCTTTTTGTAAATTAACGAAACTCATTTCAACTGTGTGATTGTTACAGATCTGGCTATATCAGTTTGTTTATTATGTAAATTAAGCTATATTTATCATTCAATATTTCATTTGGATATCATGGCTAGGACTACTATGACATGTCATGAAGGAATTATAATGGGTAGTTCTATAATGATATTGTTCTGGCCTCATTCTTTGTAATCTGGAACCTTTATTTCACATTGGGACTACCATGCATGCAACATCTGGATATTAGCCCACTAGTGGTGAATGTTGTTTTTAAACTTTTTCCCTTGGCACCTAAAGAATATATATATATATAATGAACTACAATTCAGTAGGTCTCTTTCCTGTAAATATATGGGTTGCCCATACTATACTCTGGAGAAAGATGCACTTAGTTATCTGGAGCAACATTGCCAACATTTCCTTTTATCCCAATTGAACTGATCATAACCATATTAGATCTATCAGCCGTTGAATCTTAAAAAAAACACTGTAATTGATCGTAATGATATTAGATCGTAACCAATATCGCTTTGAGCATTACCAAAGACCACTTCAATGGTAACCAACAATACCACTTTATAGCATGACCAAATGCAACAATGAAGAACCAAAACTAATTTGACATTTTTTTTCATTGAAGAACTGAAGTGTAACCAACAATACCACTTTACCAGCCCACCACCACAATAACCTTACAATAAATGACTAGGCAAACCTCCAGTGAGCTCCTGAGATAACTAACTCAACCTTAAGTTTTTACTGCTTAAGACTTCGTTAACCTCAGTTAAATTTCATCTCTGAAGCTCATAATGACCACAACTGACAGACCAATCTTGTACTTTTCCAGTGCAGTCTGAGCTCCAGAGAGTTGGTTTAAACACGAATTCCCTTCTGAGACCTCAAATCTCAAATCACACGGATAAAAAAAATGCCTCAAATATCAGGGTGAAAGCTCTTTAACCAAAAAGAAGAAGAAAAGGAAAGCCTAACTCCAATGTATCAGAATGCTTCAAATTCTGCTGCAACTGCTTCGAATAATATGATACATATACCTAACAGTGCTTTGAATCCATTGAAGTGCTTGATAAATAACCTAACATAGTTTTGAATCCACTGTTAGAAAAATAACTACTAGTCGAAGCCCTTTGCCTGCAGCAAAGGTAAAACCTTAGGGCATATGGAGGAGCAATGTCACTCAAAAAGGAATAGAAAGAGAGGGGAAAAGCTATAGACACAACCAAGTCTGATTGGCTTCTTTCTTCGCTCGAGCGCCAACACCTCCGCTCGAGCGTACAGGCCAAAAATCTGGGCAACTAGTTTTGGTTTCTAAACTCAACCAACCTGTAACAAACCCGCTCAACACATCCTATAACTCAAATACAAAGTAAGAAAGGATGCAAACAAGATAATAAACAACTACCAACATCCACGGACACATGTCTGGATCACTATATAACAAGGGTAAACCCGGGATCGCTATATCTCAGGAGCTCACTGGAGGTTTGCCTAGTCATTTATTGTAAGGTTATTGTGGTGGTCTTTGGTAATGCTCAAATTCTGGTATGTTCTTGAACACACTAGTTTCTGTATTTGGTTCTACAAAAATAGAGGGCAGAGGGAAGGAGGGAGAGGTTTTGCTCAATGGCAACTGCTAAAACTTGTGTCAAATTTGACATAATTTTTGACATTTGTCAAATTTAATAACTACTGCAATCAACTATTAAAGCTCATTTTTTTATTTTTAACTGTCAAATTATAACAATAATAACTCCGATGACAAATAGTTAGATATCCTCTAATTATAATATTCTAGTTGATATTTATGCCATCTAATTATTGTTTTCTAATAGTTGGTCAAAGTGTAGAAGAAACCAAGTTGATTGACAGGATTTTAATTTTCAACCAGTAGCTCTTTTGCATCTTCTTTTTATGCAGGAAAGGAAGTGACTTTCTCGATGTTAGTTTTCCAAATTTATAGTAGAGTCTGAATTCTTGTTTGAAGGGGTAATATTAATATAAATGGTCATATTTTTTATTTTTATTTTTTTGAATTAGAAAAAAAAGGTATTCTTTGGTAGCATCGTAGCATCGTTGCACCCCTTAAGTTTCGGGGTGTAGGTTAGATTTATCCTAACTCATATGAAGAGATTCACAACCGGAATAAAATGAGAATGCATCAACCTCCAACTCAGAAGGTAGAGTCACGCACGGAGCACAACACAATCAGTTTCAACCATAAATGAAAAACGCTAGTTATGCCATTAGAAATCGAGTCTTACTCACTGGTGTAAAAGGCTAACACCTTCCACTCCACCACCACTCCGGTGGTATAAATGGTCATATCTGGAAATAGTATTTTTCACGCAATTAATCCTTGACAAGTTTTTCAAATTAATAGGAGAGGTAGAATATTTTTCTTAGAGGTAATCTTAAGATAAACGGTCATATGCAAGAATAGTATTTTATACTTGTAAAACAAACTAGAAAATGACTTAGAAATTGTAATCAAATGTCTATATTTAAAGTTATTATTGTGGGAGCACAGTATAAATAAATCTTAATCTTTGATTACAAATTCTACAAATTCTAGACATTTTTTTTTAGTTTATTTTTTTGGATTCTTAGAATTACTGTTTTTCCTACCCTTATCTTGTAAAGCTTAAGAGAAGAAATATATAGAGAAAAATAAGTATTTGATTCAATCAAACAAATAAACATATTACCAGAATTTGAGCAGTTGCCATTGAGCAAAACCTCTCCCTCCTTCCCTCTGCCCTCTATAAAGTGGTATTGTTGGTTACAATTGAAGTGGTCTTTGGTAATGCTCAAAGCGATATTGGTTACGATCTAATATCATTACGATCAAAACCTCTCCCTCCTTCCCTCTGCCCTCTATAAAGTGGTATTGTTGGTTACAATTGAAGTGGTCTTTGGTAATGCTCAAAGCGATATTGGTTACGATCTAATATCATTACGATCAAAACCTCTCCCTCCTTCCCTCTGCCCTCTATAAAGTGGTATTGTTGGTTACAATTGAAGTGGTCTTTGGTAATGCTCAAAGCGATATTGGTTACGATCTAATATCATTACGATCAAAACCTCTCCCTCCTTCCCTCTGCCCTCTATAAAGTGGTATTGTTGGTTACAATTGAAGTGGTCTTTGGTAATGCTCAAAGCGATATTGGTTACGATCTAATATCATTACGATCAAAACCTCTCCCTCCTTCCCTCTGCCCTCTATAAAGTGGTATTGTTGGTTACAATTGAAGTGGTCTTTGGTAATGCTCAAAGCGATATTGGTTACGATCTAATATCATTACGATCAAAACCTCTCCCTCCTTCCCTCTGCCCTCTATAAAGTGGTATTGTTGGTTACAATTGAAGTGGTCTTTGGTAATGCTCAAAGCGATATTGGTTACGATCTAATATCATTACGATCAAAACCTCTCCCTCCTTCCCTCTGCCCTCTATAAAGTGGTATTGTTGGTTACAATTGAAGTGGTCTTTGGTAATGCTCAAAGCGATATTGGTTACGATCTAATATCATTACGATCAAAACCTCTCCCTCCTTCCCTCTGCCCTCTATAAAGTGGTATTGTTGGTTACAATTGAAGTGGTCTTTGGTAATGCTCAAAGCGATATTGGTTACGATCTAATATCATTACGATCAAAACCTCTCCCTCCTTCCCTCTGCCCTCTATAAAGTGGTATTGTTGGTTACAATTGAAGTGGTCTTTGGTAATGCTCAAAGCGATATTGGTTACGATCTAATATCATTACGATCAAAACCTCTCCCTCCTTCCCTCTGCCCTCTATAAAGTGGTATTGTTGGTTACAATTGAAGTGGTCTTTGGTAATGCTCAAAGCGATATTGGTTACGATCTAATATCATTACGATCAAAACCTCTCCCTCCTTCCCTCTGCCCTCTATAAAGTGGTATTGTTGGTTACAATTGAAGTGGTCTTTGGTAATGCTCAAAGCGATATTGGTTACGATCTAATATCATTACGATCAAAACCTCTCCCTCCTTCCCTCTGCCCTCTATAAAGTGGTATTGTTGGTTACAATTGAAGTGGTCTTTGGTAATGCTCAAAGCGATATTGGTTACGATCTAATATCATTACGATCAAAACCTCTCCCTCCTTCCCTCTGCCCTCTATAAAGTGGTATTGTTGGTTACAATTGAAGTGGTCTTTGGTAATGCTCAAAGCGATATTGGTTACGATCTAATATCATTACGATCAAAACCTCTCCCTCCTTCCCTCTGCCCTCTATAAAGTGGTATTGTTGGTTACAATTTTTTTTTTTTTTTTTAGATTGGATTGGTATATTAAAATTGATTGGATGGACATGAATTATGTATTAATTGCAAATGTATTATAGGTATTACAAAAAATTTAGCATTATATTTAAAAGAATTAATTTTGAAATTAAAAGTTTTTTTGCAACCAATATGTTTTTAGTCGCAAAAAGGTTCTAGGAATTGCTACATACACCCTTTCTGTGACCAACAAGATTCTGGTCGCCAAAAGTCCACTTTTCGCGACCAAGAACTTCGTCGCCAATGCTCACTTTCTGCGACAAGAATTATTCTGGTCGCCAAAAGTCCACTTTTCGCGACCAAGAACTTCGTCGCCAATGCTCACTTTCTGCGACTAGAATTATTCTGGTAGCTAAAAGTCTACTTTCTGCAACCAATATTTTCGTCGCAAATGGTTATCTTTCAGCGACCACAATAGATGGTCGCAGAAAGTAGACTTTTAGCGACCAAATTCTTAGTCGCAATAGGATCAATTTTGACAAATTCAAGTCCCTTCCGCGACCAAAGAATGTTGTCGCAAATGATGATTTTCCGCGACCAACTTCACTTTTGGTCTCCAAAAACCTTCTGCGACGGACTTTTGGCGACCAAATTGCGACCAACTTTTTTTGGTCGCTAAAAACTATTAGCGACCAGATTTGACCTTTTTGCGACCAGAAATGTTGTTCACGAAAAGTGTTTTTTCCTGTAGTGATAGTCTGTTTGGTTGTGCAAATTTGAAGCATATATGCAGTGGTGCTGCAAGAGAATATGCTCTGCTGGGGTGAAAATGTGTACGATCTGTAGACTGCTGAGGGTGAAAATGTGCTACTGGGGTGATCTGCAGTCTGCTATGCTTTCTCCTGATTGAGTTGATCTGGTAGTGATCTTTTTTGCTCTACTCTGCAGTTTGGGTGGAGTTAAGTTTGGTCTGCCTTGTTTTGATTGTTGTGGTTTTCCTGCTTTTCTTGTTTTTGTTCTGTTGGTTACTCGCCAACTAGAGCTTGGAGCTTCATTTAGCTCCAAGCTCCTCTTTATTGATGTTCTGTATCTCTTTGCATGCTTTCATCAATAAAGATTTTCTTTACCGATCAAAAAAAAAAAAAGATTCATAGAGGTGAATAAGAAAAAAGGAGATAGGATAAAGTAAGAAAATTTTGTTTAGTCCCATTCAGTCCCCTCTAGGAGGACACTTTCAACAGATAAGCCTCATAATACATAAAAAACAGAAAACAGGTTAAAAGAAATGCAATCAATTTGTCTACTGGCATGAGCAAAAAGTATTTAAGGGAGATGTGATTGCAATTTGATCTTCTTCTTCTTCTTCTTCTTCACCAAAATCTATCTCAAAATCAATAAGTTGAAGAACACATACCATTTCATCAAAAAAAAAAGGAAAAAGGGAATCAAGAGGATGGAATATGCAATTAAAGAAATGCATGTGGATCAGCTTTTTGAAAATTCAAAAACAAAAAATGGAAGAAGAAAGTAGAAAACAAAATTGAGAAAACAACGATCAACACATCTAAAGTTCATTGATTTGACTATTGAGACGAGAAGGGGCACTTGCCCCTCATGAGAATGTGAAAGAAAAAAAAATAAAATAAAAAAATTGTCCTATACTTGCAAATATATTTTTACACATATAATTCTGGCATTTTTGTAGTTATATGAACAATGATGCTTAAATATATATTCTAGGTGTTCTTGTTACTATTTTAAGTCTCTTTTAGCTAATACACTCATACAATTCTTTTTGCTTTCTTTGTTAAGGAAAAGAAAAAAAGGAAAGAATAAAACAAACAAGCGATGTTATAGAAGAACAGAACAGATCAGATCTATTACCCCATATAAAAGTATTATTAGAATTTCTTAGGGTTCATGAGAGATCAAACACCTAAAGCTATCTAACGCACATACCAATAAATACAAATTTTGTAGGCTTCTGTTTTTGTTTTTATTTTTGTTTTTTTTGTAATTATTGATAAACATCATGATCATTTGGTTACAATTATCATAATTTTTTTACTTGTAATCTATAATTGATGAGTAGTGCTAAAACTATAATTAACTTTATTATGACTTCTTATTTGGTGAATAATTGTTATTTTGTTTTGAAGGTACTTGGAAAATAAATAAAAATTCTATGTGTTAAAGGTAACTAGCATAATTGTTTTATCTAGCATAAAAATTCTATGTATTAATTATAATTTTTTTTTTCCCATAACCAATAATGACCTTGTTTGGTAGGGTTTATTTCCAGCTTATTTCAGCTTTTAGCTTAATTTAAGTTATTTTGATGTGTTTGGTTCAGTTTAATAATACAGCTTATTGCTTTTTGTAAGTCAAAAATCAACTTATTCTTTGAGTGGTAGAGGAGAAGCTTAATTTATAAGTAAAAAATCAGCTTATGTTCATAGTTATAAGCTATTAGGCTATTAGGGTATAAGTTATAATTACTTTCTCATAGCTTTACCAAACGGGGCTAATAAGAAGATAATAATAATTTTTGAATTAACATTAAGTACAAAAACTTTAATAAATTATTACAAAAGTATTTCACATAAAATTTTACAATTAACTTTGAGTAAAATCGAAAAGAAAATATTACGTGTAACTAGTGTATCATGACAAAATTTGAATAAATCAAATTTTTACAAAATTTGAATAAATCAAATTTTTACAAAATTTGAATAAATCAAATTTTTACAAAATTTGAATAAATCAAATTTTTACAAAATTTGAATAAATCAAATTTTTACAAAATTTGAATAAATCAAATTTTTACAAAATTTGAATAAATCAAATTTTTACAAAATTTGAATAAATCAAATTTTTACAAAATTTGAATAAATCAAATTTTTACAAAATTTGAATAAATCAAATTTTTACAAAATTTGAATAAAAATTTCATATAATAGTAATATGAAATCATTATTGACATATGATATCACCAATCAATAGTAAAGCAGCATATGAGGGGTGAACTTCACATGCAAGTATAACTAACACTCTAGTAATTTTTACATATATATAGTGAGATTAATTATATTTACATATCAATAATGATAGATATTAGCTTTATATTGAGATTTTTTCACAAATTTTTTATATATAAAAATATAATTTGTTGTAGTCACTTCATTTTCAATAAAACAATAATTATTATTTTCATAAATTTAAAAATGCCCTTGATATTTTATTTAAAACATTATTTTTATTTAAAATTTTATTTATATACATATGTAAAAAAAAAATTACGGAGGGGGGCACCACCGGTCCTATCATGCTATATCATTGTGGGATCAAATTGTGAGGGCTTTCTTAGAAGCGTCAAACACTTTCCTTTTAGTCTATTGATTATTAAATTAATTTGATTGTAGATAAAATAGTGTTTTAATCCCAAATGCCAGCTAAACATGACACTGCTTGTAATATTATAACTATTTTCAGAATTAAAAGTTTCGAAAAAAAGCTTCCAAATATAAGAGAATACTTCAATTAATGTACTAAATTATATTAAAAAAATCATGTTATTTCCCAAATGCATGCATTGCTTTTCATAAAAATAGACAATACATGTAAAAGTTGCTTCAAAAAAAATAAAAAAATTTCAAAATTAAAATTAATAAAATTCTAGCTAACATGAACCATACCATTAAAAATATTAAATGGATTAAGCCATAATATCAATTGAAACAGACATGTTAACCAAACTAGAATATGAACACTTAATTAGGAATTTTGCATCAATTGAAACTTTTGTTCTTTTTAGTTTCATTTTCTTTTGGGTTTTCTAATAAACTGTATAAATAGACTACTGGGAATCAGAACAAAGACTCCACAATGGGTTTTACCCACAAAGAATGAATCTTGAAGAAGCAAAATCAGTAACTAAAAAACAGTTTACATACCAAGAATATTGACAGATAAAGAGACAATTTGATCAAAGTTAATACAAGTAGAGAGAGAGAGAGAGAGAGACTCACAAGAAGATGCAGAGCTCCTATTATCAGACAAGCAAAACCTGAAGGAGCTCACAGAACGTACCAAATTTATAGGAGAGAGGCAAATGTAGTGTATATACACATTTTGTGTAGGCATTATACTATTTGAGATGGAGAAAAGAGACATTCTTCCACAACAGTGAGAAAAAGTTGTCTAGGAATTGACTATCAAAGTCTCCCAAAAAAAACAAAATTTGGAAAAAAATGATTCCTTAGCGAGCAAGCAAATTGGGCCACTGTTGAATGTGCCAATGTTTTTTTCTTTTCTTTTCTTAAACAGTTGTGTGAGTTATTTAACACTCATTTGACAACATTACTTTTTAGCTTAAAAGTTAAAAAATTATTAAAAAAATCAAAAACTAACAACTTATACTAAAAAGTTAAAGATTTCTTTTTCTCTCTACTTATTGTACATCTTTTCGTAAAAAATTAAAAAGTCAACACAAACATATTAATTTTTTTTACATCATATTTTAATCAAAAAGTCAAAAAGTTATTAAAAAAGTTTATTCCCAAACAGCGGGCATAGGTCCACCAGGCCATGGCGTAGGGCCTTTCAAAATAGACTCAAAAAATGGTCTATCCTATTATAGTTTAGTGTAATATATTATGTATGCTTTTAAGTCAAAAAAAAATTAAAGAAGGCCCAAATTAAAAGGCTCACTCAAAATTAAAAGGTCCATTCTCTCTCCTTATTTAATTTTTAACCTTAACTCTTAATTTCTCAAAAATTTGAGAGAAACGACACAATAATGCAATAACGAATTTCTCAAGAATTCAGAGCAGCACAACACAGGTGGGTCTTTTTTTCTATTCAATTAATTAAATATTTATCTTGTCTTTTGCTCAATTGTTATTATAATATTGGTATTTATACAATCGGCATCATCAAGAAGAATTATCTTTCGCTACTTATACTAAAAATTTGTCATTGAATGAAAAAAAAAATATATGTAAATGGTCTCAAATAATCCAATGATATTTATTAGCTGATTATCGGCTTTGCGCTTCGGAAATTTCAGGGCCGGGCCTATTCCGAAACAAGGCCTTAACAAGAAAAAAAATTTCTTAAATTCTTTCTTAAACAAATTTTTTTTTTCCCCCTAGCGAGTAGGGGTGGGCGCGGGTCGGTTGCGGCCACGGAACCTCCAATCCGCCATCCGTCCGCCAAATTGGCGGATTGGAGAAAATCAATCCGCATCTGTCCGTTAATCCGGCGGATGTGGATTGAGCGGATTGGCGGTTTGGCGGATGGATGCGAATCGGTTTGGCGGTTTGAAATTTTATAAATTTTCAACATAATTCAACTTGTGCACTTTCTCAAAAAAAAATATAAATAAAAGAAAAAATTATCAAGTTTGTAAATATTATTTTTTGCGACGGTCAAATAATCAGTCACAAAAAATTAGTCGCAAAAAGCCACTATTCTAGTAGTGATAGTGGTTCTTTTACATCTGGTTATACTAAATTTATGAATTTAAATTTCATTTTGCATATGCAGTTCTCATGTGAGTCGGGGAGTAGCTCTTCTAGACGAGTTACTGGCACCCCAGTAAAAAAGTTATTAGATAAAAACAATTCAAACCACCAAAACTATGAACAGAGCAATAGTAGAGATTGTGTATGTCTCCGTATTGTTACATTTATATATCTTTTTGAAAACAAAAACTAACCAGTATATATCATATTTTTTATTTATTACTTTTAGAGTTTGATTTAAAAACAAAAAAATATAGATAAATAATACCTTTATTTTTTTCAATTCAAAGAATATATTCAAGTTGAAAACTTCTTTTCAACAGAATATTTGAACTCTTTTTCAATTGAAAATACAAACAAAATATTTAAACAAATTGAAAATACAAAATCTTATAAATTACTAAGGGTGCTCGCGATTTGGCGGTTCGGTTGTGGCTAAAGGAACCTCAAATCCGCCATCCGTCCGCCAAATTGGCGGATTGGAGAAAATCAATCCGCAACCGTCCGCTCATTATCACGCATCCGTCCAAAATGCGGCGGATCGGTTCGGTTCGGTTCGGTCGGTTTTGACGGATCGGTATATCCGCTGCTCACCCCTACTAGCGAGCAAGACAAAAATGATTCCTTAGCAAAGTTTTTTTTTCTTAAACCTAAAGTTTTTTCTTAAACAACTGTTGAGTGTACTCTGAGTTATTTATACAGTATATTTTTTTATTTTAAATTATTTTGTGCAATTTCTATTTACAGTATATCAAGTAAAAATATGAAAAATTTACCCATAAATCACACATGAAAGAATATTAATCCATTTGGTCTTAAGAATTTTTTTATGAATCAATTAGTTTTTTTTTTTTGTTTTAAAAAATTGTATTTATTTGATTTAGTACTATTTGAGTTTAAGTGAATGTCATTTTGTGATTTATTTTTTAAATTTTTTATTTGTTTTTGGGATGGAAATAGAAAGGTGAGGTGTGTAAGATTCTTTTGAAAGGATTAGTGGCTGAAGTGTTGACTGTCAAGCTTGAAAATCTACATTTCTGTTAATGTAGTTTTCTCGTGTTACATTGAAGTGTTATATTAGAATGCTATGTTTAAAAATAAAAATAAAAATACACTAAGAAGTTTTTGTGTATTACATTAATTGAAGTGTTACATTTGTCCCTCAATACATAACACACGTTTATGCTTAGTCTTTTATGTAATTCATACTAGAATGAGACTTTTAGATCCATTAAAAAAAAAAAAAAAAAAAAAAATTCATAAGATCACTATTTAGAATTTGTTGATACTTAAATACTTTTTTTAAAAAATAATTATTTAACAATTGAAGATTATTTCTACTTTCTAATTAGGGCAAACTTCACTTTACCTCCTATGGTTTGGGTCGCGTATGATTTAACCCCCTGACGTTTGGAAATCACCACATAGCCTCCTGTAGTTACTAGATTGAATTGCACAGTTAGCATTTCTATCTAACATAACAATCTGTGCATAACACATGCCTAATATGCAAATGGGCATGGAAAGATGATTTTCCCTCTGAATTAAATGACAAAAATGCCCTTATCTTCATCATCAATATCCAGATTTGTAAACCTCTACCTAGGAGAAAAAAAAATGTGAAAGGATTATTAGATCTATAAAAATCAGAAAAGAAAATACATAATCTTTTTAACTTAATTTTCATATAATTATATTTTACAGATACATATATCTATATTTATATAGATACTGTAATTTTTATACATATATATACACACACTACATATTTATATGTACACACTACGACCATTGCCAGCTCCAGCCACAACCTACACCGCCGGCGCCACTCTCCGGTCAATCCCAGTCCGGCACCACTCTCCGATCAACCCCAGTCCAAAGCCACTCTTCAGTCAACTCCACCGCAACCCCCACAATCGACCACCCCCGAGCAGCTTCGGACAATCCCAATCCAGAGCCATCACATCAAGCCACCGTCACGAACCCCCTCTCTCTCTCTCTCTCTCTCTCGCCACCATCGTCAATCGTTGTTCATCCCAACTCAAATCACGACGGCAACGAAGGTAACTAGGGTTTGAGGCCACAGATCACAACGGTAGCTAGGGTTTGAGGTCACAGATCACGATGGCGGCTAGGGTTAAGATCTCAGATCGCGACGGCGATAGAGGTGGCTAGGGTTTGAGGTCACGGCTTGCAACGGCGACGAGTATGGTTTGATCTTCACTCTCTATCTCTCACATATATGTACATATAAAAATATAATATATATGTATATAGGTAGCTAGGGTTTGAGAAGAAGATAAAAAATTTGGTGGAAGAAAGCACTAGCATGAACAATCTAGCTTAGTATGAGCAATCTCAAGACTCTAATCCCAATGTCACCGCCGACTACACTTCCAACAATGTCGTTCATGCCTCCGACATGAGTCGCGTGTGCAAGAGAGGTACTCCATAGATCCATCCGTGATCTTAAATTATAGTATCCGAATTCGAATCGATTTATCGATGTGTTTGTATCTGAATCGATCTCAATGTTCACAAATTTGTATGTAATATTTGTGTGTCGATTTAATTGGATTGTTTGATTGATTAATTGATTAATTAATTGGTTTGTTTCAAATTACACCACTGCACGTGCACGCGCGCGCACACACACACACACATATATATATATATATATATTGGCCGAAATAATCTTCACAATATATTGTGTAATGCTCACTAAATTCCAACCAAGAAAAAAAGTGAATAATTGGTTTGAACTTTAAACTTGAAGGCAAATTGAACATTAATTAAATTATTTTTTGATAGAAATTATGTTGTTTAAATTAATTTGTTAATCAAAATCCTAATTTCATATATCGAAACCCTAAATTCTCTCCCTTGCTCTTCTCAAATGCACAACTGTTGAATGAGAAATGCTAAACAAAGGTTATGTATATAAGGGTAAAATAGTCTTTTTACTTCTGACGTTAACTGGACAATTTAATCCGGTAACCACGGGGGGTTATGTAGTGATTTTCAAACGTTAAGAGATAAATCACATGCGACCCAAAATATAAAGGGTAAAGTGAAATTTGTCTTTCTAATCATTATGCGTTAACTTACAATAAATTGTATCAGCCAAACCAAGAAGATGCAGAGCTCCTATTATCAGACAAGCAAAACCTGAAGGAGCTCACAGAACGGACCAAATTTATAGGAGAGAAAGACCCGTGTAGTGTATGTGCACATTCTGTATAGGCATTATACTATTTGAGATAGAGTCATTCTTCCACAAGAGTGAGAAAAAGTCGACTAGGAATTGACTATCAAAGTGTCTCCCAAAAAAAACAAAATTTGGAAAATAAAATGATTCCTTAGCGAGCACGCAAATTGGCCCACTGTTGAATGCGCCAAATATTTATTTATTTATTTTATTTTATTTTATTTATTTTTTTTAACTGCTGAGTGTACTCGGAGTTATTTTTATATTTTTTTTTAATTTTAAATTATTTTATGCAATTTCTATTTACCATATATCAAGTAAAAATATGAAAAATTTATCTATAAATCTCATATGAGAGAATATTAATCCATTTAGTTTTAAGAATTTTTTTATAAATCAATTAGTTCTTTTTATGTTAAAAAATTATATTTATTTGATTTGGTACGATTTGAGTTTAAGTGAATATTATTTTGTGATTTATTTTTTCAATTTTTTTATTTGTTTTTTGGGATGGAAATAGTGAGGTGAGGTGTGCAAGAATCTTTTGAAAGGATTAGTGGCTAAAATGTTGGTTGTCGAGCTTAAAAATTTATATTTCTATTAGTGTGGTTTTCTTGTATTACATTGAAGTGTTATATTAAAGTATTACGTTTGAAAAAAATACAATAAAAAGTTTTTGTGTGTTACATTAATTGAA